ATCATTGATCACATTTTTAATTTTCATCAAAATACGGAGTAATAAAAAAAGGCTACCCCAGAAAAGTTCTCTGATTTAGAAATCCGTAGTAGCTCAAAACTAGATAAATACAAATTTTCTTTAGTTTAAAAACACCTTTTGAGAACAAGAACATCACAACTTCCAAAACCATTTAAGTAAATTTTAAAAAAATGGGGATATGCCCAAAAAAATGGTCGAAAATCTTATGAAAAGAAAATCAGTTTTAAACTTAATGATTTGCGAATCCACTTAAATTTAAAAAAAAGATATGGAAGTTGTTCGAAAAATAATCGAAAATTTTTCGATAAGAATTTATTTTAATAATTTTGAACCACCAGAGATGCGGTACCCATTAAAATACGAGAATGTTTTAGATATCAAATTAAAGAATGTTTTATAACCACTTGATTGAAGTGGTTATAATAATTTGAGAGTTTGACTATCAAAGACTTTTTTATACACTTGAATCTCGGTAAATATTCAAAATAAACTCTCCTGCCCTCAATCTATTCTAACTATTTTTTTTGTTTCTTGGGCCATATATTGTTTGTTTTGTGTTTTTAAACAAAGAATCACCTTTGCCTCTCACTAAATATTATTTTTTTTCTTGAATTAAGTAATCCACTTATGAACTATTTTTTTTTTTTTTGGATCAAGTAATCACTTTTGGATTTATGGTACTTTATTAGAAAGCAGCATGGTGTGGTTTGACTACGCCACTATACACCTTTTTAATATATGATCTTGCTAACAAGACAATGGCAACCATTCTTTATTCACATTTTATTGACACAGACATTTTGAGTGTATTCACTTTTTTTACCAGCAAACGGATAATACTGTTAAATTTTCAAAAAATATATATCGAAACCTCTTTAAAAAATATATTTTAAAAAATATGCCCCCGAATTCTTCTGTTCCTGTTTTGGTTCTTTCATACTTTCGGGTATTGTTCTGTTAAGTTTTTTTCAGTCATGTTAGCTGACATACCTAGATACATTCTCACTTTCGAACTAAAATAAAAAACCATTATTTTTGGGTAATTTTCATATTCCCCTCAACAAAAAGCTCTGATTCGGTTCTCTCAAAACGCTCAGCCTTCATTTGAAATAAACACTAGCAAAAACGTTACAGTAATTTACGAACATTGACTCAACCATTAAAGCTAAGGGAATTGGCTTGCTAACCTATATACGGGTATTTCTTCACACTCGCACACACATTTACATATATAAATATTAGTTTATGGTTTTGGTTTTTTATTTTCCATAGAGGAAATTTGCAATTAAAAAGCTTTCGGAAGGACTACGAGAAAAATGAACCTATCACAACCGCCGCAGAGTCAACCGCACGCACTGCCGAAATAACAAATTAGGTAGGTACTCCGTACGCCTATGAATTGGACTTTGTGTACGGAATTTATGCATGGAATTGTAGGTTATTTTATCTGTTTAAATTCCTGGAATATTTTTGTTTATGTTTGTTTGTGAAAAATTTTGTTTTTATTATTAAAAGAGTTCAGCCGATAGGCGGTCCCAAAATTAGCGAGAGCTTTGTAGGGAGTTGTCGGTAGGGCGCATGTGGTGTTAGTAACCCCGGAACATCTTTATTAAAACACCGCACGTACATTTGTAACTTTTATTAACGTTTATTTTTATATACGAGTGTGTCTCTGTGTGCCAACCTAATAATCTGATATAAATTTTATTTCATTTTATTTTTCGAATCAATTCTTATCTGACGAAGTTTTTTCTATGCCAGACAATGTAGTCGGTACTTGTAAAAGTTATTTCTTAAATTTTTTTAAAGATTAAAGATATTCAGATATGTTATTGTACCTTTATTCCATACAAAGCGGTTTTAACTTCGCTTGAAATAAACAGAAATAATTTTTTAACGAAAAAAGTAATAAAATAATATTATTAATAATAAAAGATTCTTTTTCAAAAATAAATCAATTATTATAATTAATATAAGATTATTTTTTAAAAAATAATTATTTAAAAAAAATAAAAATCGAAATGTAAATACAGTTTTCGCTTGAAAACTTGAGCTCTAAAACGAGAATAAAATTCTTAAAACGTTAATAAAATCAAAAATTTTGGACTTTGTTTTGGACTCTGTTTCGGACATGAAGTACTTTTTTAGGACACCATCTATTCTGTAAAAGATCTAGAAGAGCAATAGTAAGTCCGGAATAGTCAGAATACCCACATTTTTCTATTGATGCTAAGACGAATGTATCCATACATTATTGTTTTGTTTCAATGATAAGACTCTATATTTACAACTAAATAAATTAAAATATAAATCGAAATAATAATATAAAAACCATTTTATTTGTTGTGCGAATATATGATTTTGCTGCGCCACAGAACTTACAATTGTATCAACTTTAAGTAGCTCTTTAAAATGTTAAGCAAAAACCACCAACCTTCCATATCCACGGCTGATTGCATGGCGCAAGCCAAGAGGAAACAAAGTAGGCTCCACGAGTACCAAGTGCTCCAATTAAAAAGGCGTGGCTTCTGAAACCCATAAATTGTGACTTCTTCAATTTCCTTTAATAGCGTGAGTAAGAAGAGTTTGCAGTGCATTCAGTAACCTTTAAATATTGCAAAACTTTAATATTTTTAATAGCAAAAAAAAAACAAAAAAAACCAGACACAAAAATCCCAATATTTTAAGGATGGTAAAAATTTTAGTTGGTAACCACGCTTTCCATAAAAATTATCTGTACGCACATGCGATACACAAACCAGTTAGACCTTTTACAAAAGCTTTTACGAAAGCTTACAGCTTTAAATATAAAAGCGTAAATACATCACTTCGTCCCAAACTAAGTAAGCGATTACTTGTCCGTTGTTTATCAGTAAGTTTTAGAAATTGACTAGTTTTACAACACTAGGAAAATAATCTGCACCTTCACACATATCTAAGCCTGTAACTTAATATCGATATATTCGATGTACTTTTTTAATTTTAATCCTGTTACATCTAGACTGGTATTATCCATGCAGTCGTAATCTTTTAATATCAGCTGATTATCTTTTACGCATTTCTACTGATATATCCAAAATTGAAAACGGTTCGGGTATGACATATTTTCCAAGATTTTAAACATTAAATACTGTAATAATACTTGCAATCTTAAAAGTAAGGAACTAAGAAATATCATTGCAGACCAAAGCGACTGCTAAGTTCTATAAATGTAAAAATATTTCAAATTGTGTCGTCACTCTCAACAACTAGACTCTACAATGAATTTCTGTTCATTCTAATGTATCAGGAATCGATATAACAGATGAAGTATCAAAAATCGGTTCTAATGCGATAACTTGTAGACCATAATCATTTTTCAACTTTGTATAAATCTGCTATGAAACTAACTGTATTCAATTGGATAGAGGATTCAGATGGGGCTATAGTGAACGCACTCACAAGGATCGCTTTAGCTAAATCTACTATAAGTCTAGTTTGATACGGTTGGATCGAGTACTGTATACATATTCAGAGGAGACTACAGTACACAAACTCCCAAGAGCATATTCGTACACCGTAATTATTTCTCGACTTTACTTACTTTTATTGTCAGACTAGATATAGAATATTGGTCTCAGTGACTTATCCATATACATGGGGAAGATAAGGGGATAATAGCTTAATCGATTCCTTTTAACAATATAATATACAGATAATACACTACAAAAACAAAACCAAACAAATATATTTTTTAGTTTGCCACCCACTTCCTCCTACCTTTTGACACAATTCTACTTGAAGCACTGGTAGGATTTAATCTGCATAAAATTATAAATGGCAAAAGCACGATGACTGCATACATACCAAATTGGTCTCACCTGAAATCAATACAGAGGCTATGAGTATTCTTCTGACTCAGTGTCGCAAGAACTGTAGACGATTAATTAATACTAATCAACAATAACTGGCAACACCACATACGTTGAGCACCTTCTTTGTCTTAACCACACTGACAACAGTTTATGATTACGTTGTTTGGAGAGTGGCAACACAATTAAACAATTTCTTTGCTTTTGTTCTTTGCACTCTCTCAATACTCAGACTTCAACTTCTCGATTCTGATATTGTGAGCAATTTGAATATCACTTTCTTGCCTCTTTCAAATGTTCTCCACTTCCTTGAAAGGAGTCCAAACTTTATGTAAGATTATAGATATAACATTCACAGTGCAATGTATTTTCGAGGTCTGATTCCTGTGATTATTTCTACATATCATTTTCAAGAGATGGTTTTCTTCTTACTCATTTTGAGTCAGCTTCTACGATATCGATTTCTATGAAATTAAGAACAGAATGCAACTTAATGTCATCAAATCTTGATTGGATCTGTAACGCTGCTGCTTTTTGTAAGATTTTCGAGATTAAACCTTATAAAGAAATTTTTTTGATAAATCATGTAGCAATCAAATCATGTAGCAGTTTGGCTCATGATTCAACTTTGTCAGTTGAAAGTAATAGGATGATTGATATTGACTTTGATGAAGTAATTGACAGGTTCGTATCTCTAAGGAACAGAAATAAATATTTTGAAGAATGTAGAAATATATATAATTATATTAAAATAATCATTCCAAACTGGTATGGCACTGGTGCCATGGACTGTACAAATCAAGTTCAATGGACTTTAAATATAAATTAAACCTTTCATAGGAAAATTCCGACTGTAAAGTCCATTACCCGTAGTATATAACAGTGCCCTGTTTATCACTTCATATAGAATCCTTCAGGAATGTCTGTTGCTGAGCATTAATAAAAATATAAAGAAAGTTAATTTTTCTGTACGATTTTTAAACGAAATAGGACTAGTTTTTGCTTGAAACAAAAAGAGATAACACGATATTCACACTATAAAATATTTATGAATCAAAACAGCAAGCTTTGTAAATGTCATAAATAAATATATAATTTGATTTCAAATAAAACAATGAATTCTGAATTTGTTATTAGCTTTAACTCACCTAATAACAGAGAAAGTTCTTCTAAATTTGTTGGTAAAAACAAAGGATTTTAAAATGGCTAATAAGAAAAATGGACAAGTGGATGTTAGCAGTAGTGCTCAAAATGACTCCAATTTGAATGTTTACTTAAACTCCCTTAAAATCTTGCATGATGAGTTTCATGAGAGGATCGCATTCGCTAATGATAAACTGGAGGGAGGGGGACAGGGGAGAGAAGAAATTTATGAATCCGATATACAAGCGGCACAAGATGACTATACAGTGAAATCTTTACTTTAATTGTTGTTTTCAAATTAAAATTGAATTACTTAAATTTCTTTTTAGAGGAGGAGAAAGAATCTATACAATTGCATTTATTGTAAGATAACTGAAACTAATCCAGAATTAAACGTAAAGTACAAAAATGTCGTTAAGAAGACAGAGGCAGATCTAACTCAAAACAATTCTAGATTAAACGTTGAGTATGAAGTGGTCGTTAAGAAGACAGAGGCAGATCTAACTGAAAACAATTCTGGATTGAACGTTGAGTACGAAGTGATCGTTAAGAAAACAGAGGCAGACCTAACTGAAAACAATTCTGGATTAAACGTTGAGTACGAAGTGGTCGCCATGGAGACAGAAACAGATTTATCTGAAAACAATCTTTTTTTGAACATAGCATGTAAAGAGTTCAAAAAGGAGACAAAGTGATAGACAGTATACAGAAAATTGATGTATTTTTACATTAAAAAAATTGAAATAAATAATTAATTAAGATTAAAATTTGGGAACATAGTTTTGTTTTGTTTTTTTAGAATAAGACAGCTAGAATTGCTCACTTAGATGATATTTACAGATGTGTGCAGTGTCTTACCATATGTAGTATCTTTCGCCAATCAGCACAATCGGCATCCTGCCACCACTTCCTACTAGAAACAGCTTATTAATCATTAGATCTATTCAGCGAGGAAATACTGCTTTTTCCACCACCATACACTTAATCAAACGTCTTGACTTAACCAGCGAACCCGCTGAGTTAAAATACGTTTATTCATGTCAACGTTGCAGTATACCTAATATAGATAACCATGTCATCTAGTTTAGTACCCGTTACTAACTCATGCGGGACTATAGATTGTTAACGAAGCTTCTGGATCTTAAACCAACATTGTATAAGTCATTCACAAAAAGCAATTAGTTTCCAGGAACTAATTTTTAAAAAGGCTTCTCAACATTATATTATAAATATTTTAATTACTAATACCATATATTGGTTTACTTAACATTGTAAACTAGAGATGTAACATATTGTGATTTATAATTTCACAGTACCTCTATAAGTCCGATTTTCTCGATATATTATAGTATTGAACGAGTGTATGAGTATATAAGGTATTTTTTTTGTTTAGTAAGTGACAGATTCTCAACACATGATTTGAGGTTTGATCTTTTTTCTTATAAAATTTACAAGTTGTACTAAAGTATGATATCACTTTTGTTAGCTGTTGATTATTCTTCACGCTCCTGTTAGTACTATTCTAATGTTTCTTGCATTGTTGTTAATTGGTGATGCAAAAAGTATTGATTAGTTTTTGGTAGATTTTTGAATAAGAATTTTCTTTACTGAAAAATAATTTTAATCAAATATATATTTAATAACAATTATTATTCATAACTTTTCGCCAATTTTCAGATAGCTCCATAATTCTGAAGGTGTTAAACATTTATGGTTCCACAGTCAAAAACTTAGTGATATTCAGTGACACTTCAATCAACCAATTTTTTATAATAAAAGATTTTTGCAGAAACTAAAACAAACGGCATTCAGACGATGCAAGATCCAAGCTATTGTTTGGCCTGGCGTTGAAACACAAGTTCTTTTCTGTGGCAGCTTCTGGTTTCTTTTCTTTGATTTTTTTGTTCAAGTGATTGAGTTATTTGCGGTAGAGAACCGAATTAACTATTGTACCAGGATAGGTCAGCTCGTCGTAGACAATTCTATTCTAATCCAACCAAACATTTTACATAACGCTGTTTGATGTTGAAGTTAGAGTTCACTCACAGCATCCTCACCGTAAGCCATCTTTTTGGCAAGAACCCATGGATAGTTTTCGTATTACACGATATGAAACTATATATAAAACTGCTAGTATATAATAAAACTATAATTATCAATTTAATTTAAAGCTAATATGGCTTTATGGTCCACATATGTTGGACTGTGCTTTCTAATGCAATATCAACATAATTCATTGGCTTCAAGATAAAGTTTTCCGAAATATTGGTAACGCCGCATGGTACGTTCACAATGTGGATATTTATCGAAACCTTAACATCTTAATAATTGCTGCAAAAATTGAAGAACTAGCGTAAGTTAATTCTAATTGGCTCTAGAGGCATATAAACGAAGACCCTAGTCCGTTTCTCAATACCATAAGCCTACTTCGACTTCGATTTCACTAAAAGAATTCACATGAATTCTATAAAATCTGTAAATAACTTATAAGTAATATGACTGTTCGAAGTTTGAATTTTATATGTTAACCGGTTACGATCTTAAACACGACTGACCTTTCTAAGAAACTGCAATTCGCATCAAGAGAGCGATGCTCTACGTTCTCTGTTAATTACAAAGTCTATATTAAAGGACACAACAAACAAGAAAAAAACCCACAAATTTTCTAATCCACAAATTATTAACCTGATATGAAAGTAGTAAAACTAGGAATGAAAGTAGTAATACTTAGCCCAGCAGCGCTTGGGTTGACCACATTTGGAAAATACTCCATGAAAAAATGTAGGTCTTTTGGCGTTAGATAAAAAATGCATTCTTTTAAACATTTCTAAGACTTTAATGCAACATTTTAAACAAAACAACATGGATTTTTAGCGTGGATTCGCATATCCGGGGGTCAAAACAGAATCAAATCTGAAGGCTAAAATGCAAGATATCTCCGAAGAAAAGAAAAAATTCTCTGTCAATGAGATTACATGGACGATCACTACTAGCCTCTACTACCTCTTAACTACCTCAATATTTTAAATACTTGTTATATACTTGTTATACAGTGCAAGCTTTAGTTCTTTATATTTATTGGTATTTTATTTATTGTTCAAGTTGATTAAAATTTTTTTCAAAAAAAATGCCAAAATTCTAAAATAAAACGTTAACAAATGTCCTAACCATTTTACAAAAGTCCATTAGATTGTAGAGGTGCAGTTTGGTTGTTGGAAATCAATAAAATCCAACATGTCATTGACTATAGAGATTTCTTTAATCTTAAAAGTATCAGCAAACAGTTTATGGCACTAAAATCATCACTCAAGTGCAGTGACGACTGCTCTAAGGTGCGGAGGTGTGCGGTGAACACCCTAACATAATTTGCAAAATGTCAAATAACATAGGTATAGGAATTTATTAAGTATCTTCACATCAAGAATTATTATTATTTATTACATTTCCATATATACACATTTTTAAAGTTTTAGCAAAAACAATTAAATATAATTGTCTATGAAAACTCAATCAATTTGCTTCTGTTACCTGCTATACTTGTTAGTTGTGCTCATATATTTGCAGCTCAATTCACAGAACATTTCTATTTTATTTCGTCTCTCCCCTTTGTGTTCAAAGAAGGTGGTCGCACATTTATACGTTGCATATGAACAAAATAATGTGCGTGTTCTCCCGTTCGTAATATCAGAAATAGAGATTTATATGTGGGAATTGTATGAGAGTAATTTTCTGTTCTATTCGAATATCAACTGCATGCATACGAATCCAACATGATGATTTGCCAAAGTGGTTGCATGAGCGGTTGAAGTTTGCAGCTCATCTCAGCATACATTTCTATCACATTTCGTCTCTCCCCTTTTAACAGCAGCACCCACGAATTTCTGTTCTTATTGTGCGGGGTACTTGTGCGCACATTTATACGTTGCAAGTGGTTTCGATTTTGTTTGATCACTGCACAAACATGTATGTTTCTAAGTACAAACTCTTTTGTTTGAAAAAATTTGGTTTGATGTTACGAGAATTATGTGAAAAGTTTTGTTTCTTCCATATTGATATAATATTAAACTTATATATATATAAATTATTAATTTAATTTGTTTAATATATTATTTTGTTAATAAATTGTTAGTATAATATTGCGAATATATTGTTGCCTTATACAATATAGTTATTATTAATAAAAGATCTCATATATTTTAATATAAGTGGTACATGTAAAAACAACATTATAGAAGGGCCGCACACCCTTCCAGATAGGGCACGCGTCGTCACTGCTCAAGTGCCATCCGACTATTCCCCAGTTGCATTTGTACATGAATCATCATAAAAAAAACATGGAAGGCAATTAATTTTAGGCTCACACCTTGCTGGAATGCATTTCGCTCAATGAGAATTTATTTGTGTCTGCTGTATCGAAGATATTATCTCACAAATAAAGTAATACCTTAAATTCTAATCATTTAAATTACATTAAGTAGAAAATCACCTTAGTTGAAAACTCAACAGAGCAAACGCACAAAGGAGTTCAGAGTGTTTGACGAGAAGAAGGACTGAATTGGTTATAAATGAGACCAAAACAGCAATACAAATACCAACGAATGCACTTAGTAGATATCTATTCACTATTTTGATTATAAATAATTCATTGACTAATCGGGAGACTGTTAAATTCTAACCAACTGTATGCCCACAATTAAATACGAGAACTACGGACGATTTTTTGGATTTCTAAAAACAGCTTTTGTGCTTACTGAAGTACCAACGAGGTTCTGTCCTATTGCAGCAATTCTTTAACGTTATGTCGTTCAAGCAAGTGAATTGTGCAGAAATTGGATCGATAAAGATGGAATGGAACCCATAATTTCTAGATAAATCGATTCCAATGTCAAGAAGACTGTTTCTTTGCTGACCTGGTAGAGTAAATGAAAATAGATTTAGCGAATGTTTTTAATTTCATGTGAAAATCCAAAGAATTTAAAAAAGACGACACGTAGGCCCAATAGTTAGTAAAGTTTTTCTCCTCCTGGCAACTTTAACAGAATCACAAAGGGCCATAGTTGTTTCCCATGCACATCAACCTTTTGCAACTATTTTGACCTATTGGTTAATAAGGAAAAACTTATGAAACTGGAAAATAATTTACAATCTTTCGAAACTGAAAGCTCCAAACTATTCTTTATAAAAGACCACAAAACATATTACCGACAGTATCTTACATAAACCTCCATTAACGAATCCAAATAATACATTATCCGAAATAATAATTAAACAAGTTCAATCAATTGCCAGAGATATTTAAAAAAACATTTTCCAATCCAAAAACTTTACGAGATCGGAGATACAATCAAAAATAAAATTAATACGAGTATAAGGCCATAAAATGGAACATTTAAATTAAATTGACCCCCAATATTTTATTTTATTATATATCTTAATTGTTATTCATTAATTGTTTTTTTTTTCTTTCTCTTCTGTTTGATATCTTTTTGTGTTTGCAAAATTCTTTTTTATAATTTAATTTTTTAATTTATAATTTTTTTGCTTTATTATTTAATCATTTGTAAATTGTTTATATATTATTTATCTCCTTTTTGTTAGTTTTTAAGTTAGTTCTAAGACGATACAAAAAAAAATAAACAAATAAATAAAATATATAAATGAAAAAATAATTGTAAATAAAAAAAATTATAAAAAAATAATTTTTAATAAATTAATATTGTGAACTGAAAATGGTCTAGAAAGTAGAATGAAATCTCTGCAACAAAAATAATTTTTTATAAAAATTAAAATACAATTAAAGATTTAAGACAAATTTATATATATAATTTTTATTTAAAAAAACATTTTTAATTTTTATGTGTTAAATTAACGATCTATTCCCAGTAATAATTAAAAAAATATAAAAAAATAATTAAAAATAAGAAAATGAATAAAAATGGACAATTTAATAAAAAACAACTGAATGAATATATTTATATAAAAGAAAATAAATAAATTGATAAATAAATCAACAAAAATAAATTAATTAATATATACATATATAAGTTTATAAAAATACATAAAAATAAATAAAATTAAATAATTACATAAAAATAAATAAATATATAAAAAGAAATAAATAAATAAAGCAATTAAAATATTTAAGTAAAATAATTAAAAAAATATACAGAAATAAATAAATTAAAACAAATAAATAAAAATAAATGAAAATAAATTAATAAATAAATAAAAGTAAATAAATAAATAAAAATAAATAAATAAAGATAAAATACATGTGTTATATATATGTAGATAAAGTAGTTTAATAGGGTAGAGATAAAAAGAGAGGAAAAAGCTAAGCTAAGAGTTTTTTTTTGCGGGAAGACAATAAAAAAACAAAATCGAACAATAGATAATTAAGTAAATTTATATATAATAGAAATTTTTATAAAACAAAGCTTTAATAAGTCAAAAGTTGAATATAAATTTAAATAAAACAAAACATAAAAGCGCGGTTCAGACTATCATTTTTGAGTGTCATTTAAAAGAGAAAATCCATGAATGACATTCAAAAATGATAGTCTGCACTTTTGAATGACATCCAACCATGTTGGCAAAATTTTGGTGACCACATCATTCAGCTTCTCGCCAACATGTTATGAATGATAGTCTATTACCCAAAAACTTGCATTCGTCATTCAAAAACAATACTTGCATGGTTGCACTAACACACTTACAGCGTGCGAAACACACTTACAGCGTGCGTAAACACTCTTATTCTTCAAGAATTTTTCTTGAATATGAGCATGTTCAAGTTCGGTCTCTAGAATAAATTTGAGCAAGAGTGAGCGCAACTTGAATGATATTCCAAAATGATAGTGGGCACCACACTCATAAAATATTGCGTACTTTTTTGAATTAACCACGTACATTTGGGTGATTGTTTTAAAAACCGGACAGATTTTGGCAAAAAATGACCTCATGACCTCCGATTTGGCTGAAATGAGCTCCTTTTATAAAATAAGAAGACCTGTATCTCGGATAAAAATTTTGTGATTTTTTTCCAAGGAGATATGGACCCAAAGGGATTTGAGAATTGGCATTGTAGGCACATTTTCAAATGGGTATATATCAAGTTCTATAAAATATAGAAACTATACCATTTCTAATGTGTGATTATGTGCTGCAGTTATCTAGATAGTTCGGCTAGTAAGAAACTAATTAACTTTTTAATTCATCTATATACGAAAAAAGTTTATAAAACGGTTTAATTGTGTTAAAATTAATAATTTAAAAACAGAAATGATGCGGAACTAATTTAACATTTAACTGCTTAAATATAAACAATTTTAATTGTTTCAACAATTTCATAAATGATCAATCGATTATCTTTAAAACGCAGTAAATTTCAAGTTCCTACCTTTTGTAGGACTTGAGCTATAACCATATCCATATCTCCTAGGAAAAAAATTACAAAATTTTTTCCCGAGATACGGGTCTTCTTATTTTAGGAGCAAATAAAAATTTTCAGACAAATCCGAGATCATGAGGTCAAAAAGGTGTCCGAGTTGTAAAAGAATGACCCATATACAATATACAGATACATATATTATTTATTTCTTTCGTGTTCGTTTTTAAGTTAATTCTAAGATAATACAACAAAAGGGGTTTCCCTTAACGCATTTTTAAAATAAAAACATAATAAATAAATAAATAAAAATAGTGTTTATAAGGCAGAGAGAAATGTCCCAAACAGTATATACCGCTAATATGCATCGAATTGACAGACTGTAGAGTACACACTCTGTACTTTAGCGCGAGCTTTCGACTTTGAAGTAAACAAAGTTGTAAAAAAGCTTTCATTTGGTCAAAACAATGGCAGAGCGCATGTTTGAAACCAACACCAGCAACAACACATCACCGACAATAATTGAAGTATGGCAAAGTCAAACTTTTAACAGCAACAACAATAATAATAACAACAACAACAACTCGCCACTAACAGCTGTTTCGATTGTCAGACGAAGTTCAACATTAACTATGGCGGGCAGAGACTACGAGCTGCAGTTAGTAAACCTCGGCGCTCGTGAAACCAACGAGGCTTTCGTGCTTTTCATGCAACTGTTACGCTGCGTTTATGGTTCCTTCAGTTTTTCGCCTTCCAAGGCCGTGCGTCACTTCGTCTTGTAACGCAAACCTAAACAGACGGCAGAAAATATTAATAAAAGCGAATGAAGAAAATAAATCGAGCCAAATACGTCCAAAAGCATTTCGAAGTAAATCAATGAAAATGCCCGACAACTAAGCAACCAAGCCAAGAAAAATGAAAATAAAAATGTTAATGTGAATGTGAATGTGAATGTGAATGTGAATGTGAATGTGGTTCTGGTAATTTCATTTAGTGAGTGAAAAAAATTTCTTGATCTAAGAAAATTAATTAAAGTGCATTGCACAAAAATGTCGAGAAAAAGCTTTGCCAAAAAATATGAATTGATTTTGAGAACAACAACAACAACAACAACAGCAACAACAAAACAACTCAACCCTCAAAAACCACAAAACAACATAAATTTGATGGAATCCTTGACCTAAACTCAAAAAAAAAAAACAAAAAAAAAAAAAAACACCAACAATGCTTACCCCAAGACGTACGAGTTTCAGTTTAATCATTAAATATTAAATGAAAATATATGTGAACATTAATATTAGAAATTAATATCAAAAACTTCAATTTTGAGAAATTTAACCCGAAGATAGTATCAAAAAGCAATCCTTCCAAGTGTCAGGATCAAACAAACCATGCACCCTGGCATCGTGCATCCAAGGAAACAACAAAAATCGCCATAAATGTTAAAAGTGATACCATAAAAGCATAGCAGGCATCAGGCATCTTAAATGGAACGATTAAAATTAAATTGTTTAAAAAATAATTTGTTGTTATTTAACTATTCCGCATGCATTAAGAATAATAGTTGTCAAGTTGCAACAACAACGGCGAAGGAAATAAATTTCTTATTGTACGAAATCTCGCTGAAGCACATCTTCAACGTTGAGTCGTTCGTGCTGTGTGTGTGCGTGTGCGTATGCATTTGCCTGCTCTTGATGCATGTCTGTGTGTACATGTGTGTGTGTGCCCATCTTCATTTTCTTTTTCTACTGCAACAACAACGACTCTGGTACATATCCTTGCTGACAAATGGGCTCATGTTTTGGGCGCTGCGTTTCAAAGGAGCCGCACTCTATTACAGCAACCACATCTTCCTGTTTGTGGTAAGTAACATTCCATCCCTATACAACTCACCCCATCCTTCCCATCCCATCGAGACTCAGCCCATTCCAGTCCATACCACCCATACAGCCCAATCATTTTCTCGTAACTGCCACTTAATTAAATTTTAATTTGTGCTCCAAAAAACACTTAATTTGTATATATATTTGTTTTGTGCTGAAATTTTATTATCTTATCTTTAACGTCACTTAAGCTATTATTAAATCATATTAATCTTCTTCTTACGCCTGCAAAGAAAATATAAAGCACATCTACTTATTTACTTTCTTAGTTGGCCTTCATAGGCGTGAGTCATACGTCGCAGCTTCCTCCACCTGCCAGCCCAAGATAACGTAAAGTACATTTACTTATTAACTTATTTAGTCAGGCTTTACAGATGTGAGTCAAAAAATGAGCCAGCAGCGTCCACCAATCCTTCCAAGTTGCGGCTTGCTATCACCAGTCGGTAGTATCAAGTGCCCCTAAATTGTTGGTCAAAGATGAGGACATACTCTTCTGCGTTTCCCACGGAAACGGGTAGCGAATCAAACACCTTTCTAGTCGGAGTACTTCTTCCATTCACACAACGTAACCAAGTCAGCGAAGTCACTGAATTTATATGCTCTAAGCTATATCAATATCTCTTTATTACTCGTACAGCTCTTCATTTCATCGTATTCTAAACTTGTCTCCAATGCGTAAGGGATGATATATGTTGCGATGTTTTTTTTTTCATTTTACTCCTACTAATTTAGTTATTCCTATGTAAAGAGCGTTTCTGTGATGAATAAAATGCTTTGAAATGTATTTCAAAAAATACCTACTAACTTTAATCTTTAGAACAAGTGCTTGTAGCAGTAAGAAAAACCAATCCATGTCATTTGTAAATGTAAGGAAATAATAACCTTAAGATGGCAAGTTATCTTAGAAGTTTTTTACTGGACTTTACCATTAGTTGTAAAATAATATCATTTAGAACTTTCTGTAAAAAATAAGAACATTACTTGTTTATAAATTTTTAACGATATTTTATTGTTTTTATTGTATTCTGTCTACATCTATATAAATTAGAAGAGTAGCTAATGATTTAACTGTAAATATAAATCTATCTCATAGTTTCTTAAACACCCCATAGCATGTGTAACATTTTTGGTTATTTAATTATAATACCTTATAAAGCTAATCAGCTGATCTTGATTCCGCTCTTTTTAGGCGGGAAGTAGTGAATAGAAATGCGAGATTCCTTGCTATGGAGTTAACTTTTTCTGTAGATCTCTGAGAATTTGTAAATTTCATTGGATATTTTGATTTCTGATATAACATGGGGCACCAGTGATTGTTCGCTGTATTTTTGACTGATCTGTTTGGATAATTTCAATATTTGAAACACTAGTATTACCAAATAGCTTAATACCTTAAGTCCATATTGGTTTTATGATACTTTTATACAAGAGTACTTTATACTCTAGAAACAGGGAGTATCTTTTATTAATGAGCCAGTGCAACTTAGAGACATGGAGCTTCATTTGTATTTTTTTGGCTTCGATATGCTTGCGCCAAGTTAGTCGTCTGTCTAGGTGAAGACTTAAGTACAATCAGCCTATTTGCCAGATTTATCTTTATCTTTATCTTTACCAGCTCTTCTCACACCTCAAAAAAAATTCGTCATGAAAAATTTCATCTAAGAAAGAGGTAGTTGATGCAGGGTCAGAATCTTTTGCAGACTACAGAGATGGGATTCATATATTAATGAAAATGTTGGATAAAGTTTAATGAATCACTATGAGTTTATATAAATAAATTAACTCAATTTTTTAATTATAGAAGTAGTTTTCGCTATTCGTGAAGTCATTAAACAATCTAGTACATATTATCTTAAGACCTTACATGTAGCCACTTAAAATTATATAAATTTATTGAGAGTCAGTAGCTAAGGATATAAATTAATTATCGACACATATGCAAATAAATTCTAATGAGAAGTATGAGAAGTTTTCAAAGCTCTCGCATTTCACAAGTGTGCTTGAGTAAATTGCATTGCACGTTCTTGAACTGCAATGTACTTCAGCGACATAAGTATACGACAAAGGTTCATTGCCCTGAAACTATGCTACAAAATTTTAAATAACTAGAAAAAATCTATAGGAAAATGTATTAAAAAATACTGAAATGTTGAGAGCATTTATTTGTTTTTTATGCTTATATACTCATACCTGAATGGATGGACTGTGAAAAGTTCGTGCAACAAGCGATTTATTTTTTATTGTCCACCTTCTTTTACTTCTATAATTGTTTTCTTTTTGCCTTTATTTTGGTTTAGTTTAGATTGTTTACACACTTCTACACACTTAGATTCCCAATATGACCTCTTTGATTTTTATTTGAATATTTATAATTCAATTCGATGTAATATATGGTTACAAATATGTCTTTTCTTTCCTTTTAGGCGTTCAGCAACAGATGAACAAGAAGCAGAACTCATTTCCAATGCCACCGATTGTTACAAGAATGAAAATTTTATAATTCGTAGTATTAAACTAAAGAAAAAGGTAATCAAACCTTGAGACTTTATCATTTTTCTATTATAGTTCTTTTTCACCTTTTGCAAATTCATAATATCAGTGTTTATATCAAATATCTAAATCACTCCCCGGTAAAATCAAAAGATATAAGTCTCCTCTTAGCACCGAATATCATAAATTTTAATATACTTTTCAAAAAAAAAGGTTATCGCATTATTAAAATAAAAAGGATATACTCCTCACGATATCTGCATTTATTGGAGAAAAATGTTTAATCATAATATCTTCTCTATTACTAATACTAAATAATTAATTTATTCATACACTCTAATCAGTAGCCACACGAACTGTGCGCAAGGAATATTGGAAGATTTTGACAGAGAAAACGAAACCAAGAAAGGTACGAGTGAGGTGTGGTATTAGGAATGATACTACGAATATCAATCTCCCCCGTGGAAGTATAAACCCCAGTCAGAAATGATGGTGTTGAAATTACACCACCAAACAGATCTCTGGATCCTATTCCCATAAATCACACCTAAATGTGAACTATGTGACTTAAGACTTTAAGCTTAGTTTATTAATCTCCTAAGACGAACATGATAATCTTGTTTTAAATCTTGTTTAGTTGTACCGAAAAAATAAATGAAAAATGTTCAAAATTACTCTCTAACGATGATAACATCAATTTTTCCTTTAGGATAATGAAATCATTATCCCCTAATATATAAAACCTAGTACTTTCCACCTAATATGTAACAACAGTAACGACACCAAATTGTTTTTATTAAAACTTTATCTGCTCAACAAAAGATATGGCTGAGACGTTTGGACTATAGTAAGCCTAGTTTCCGAAACTTTTACAGAAAACCACTGTTAGCAAAGCAATAAATACAATCTATTGAATAGTGTTTACTTACGAAACAACACAAATAAACAAAAATATATTAAAGGCATTATTTAACACAAACGAGGCAAAAAAGTATTTATCATCCAGAAATCTGTAGGATATATCAAACGTGAAGCAATAAATACTATCTCAACAGAAATATATTAAAGACCTTATTAAGCAAAAACGAGGGAAAAAGTATTTATTACCCCAGAATCTATTGGTTATATCAAACGTCATCAAAACCAACTAAACGCTGAGAATGAAGAATTTAAAATCAAGGTTTATCATGGAAAGGACTATCATCACAAATCCTTATTCAAGATAACAACAACAGAGCAAAAACGCTAAAGTAGAGTGCTACCTGAGGACACAATCTAGCAACAAGTAAATATTTCAATCGGGGCGCCAAAATTGAGATTGATACGCCAACAACAGTGGATGAAAAATGGATCCACATCAAAATTCAAGCGGTAGTAGAAATTGATTCATCTAGATGTATAAACATCCCAAAGTAAATCTTAGTAGGTCGGTCGTCATGATATTAATGATGGTCTTCTCGAAACACAAGCAGCGTTATTCATATCGCTTGTCTTTAGGAAAGAAGAAGAAAAAGCAATTCGGTTTTTGAGGTGTTTAATAAATTTTATTCTTTGAAATGAACCAAAAAATTTAAAAAATCGTTATTGAATTGTGTTTAGTCATTCCTGGCTATGATTCCTAATAAAATACCTATAGAATCTATAGATAAATATATAAAATAATAAATAAAACTTGATTTAAGACGTTCAGATTGATATGCCTCACATCAAAATTAATAATGAAGTAGAAATTAGTATAGCATCAAAATCCATGAAGTGTTTTTTTTATCGAAAACTCTATTAAAAGACTTACTGATGCAATTCTCATTTTAGTTAATAATGTTTCTAATATTTCTTTTTTATTTTTTAGCAAAATTTACCAGAATTCATTGAAAAACTTTGGAAGAAACAAGATATAAACTATGATAAGTTGATTAACAAAAATGGCAATGATAGGTAAATATTTACAAGCCATAATTTATGGGAATATAATATAAATCTTTTATATAAATAAATAAAATTCATTGAAAAAAAATTTTTTTCTCTTTGTTCTGATTTTAAGCCTAACAGATATACATTTGCAAAATCTCAACGTTAACAATTTATTGACATCGGCCGTATTTACCAAAGAATCAACAATGAATTATACACCCAGTAACAATACAGCTGCAGCTAGCTCTCGTGCTAGTTCACTTGATCTGGAATGGGAGCATGAATATACTAACATACATAACATGACAATGAGACATTATACACAATCAAGCTACACAATTATACAGGCAACACCAACATCAACATCGACTTCAACACCACCACTCCCTATCATATTGCCACCAACAACACCATTACCACCGAAACAAAATAGTAAATATGGTAACACTGGTCGTAATAACTCTTTCACGCGTACATCATCGCATAATTCATGGTCACATATATCAACACCCGAATCAATGGAATGGGATATCGATGAGGAGCAGCAACGTCAATTGCATGTAGAAGATGATAGACTAGACCATGAAACGCTACAACTTCTACATCAAATCGAACAACTGAAGAATCAAGTGCTTAATGAAACCGGAGACGGTTTATATGAACTTCAAAATAGTTGCAACACTTATGGTTCAGATTACGAAGAGACGAGAAATGGTTCAGTTTACAGAGACAATAGCAATAACGTAAGCACTACTATAATTTAGTTTAAGAGGGACATATATTCATATATGATAAAAATAATATGATAAGGAGATTGATAAGATACGGAGATTATAGAGTGAATGTCAATATATCTATTCACCCATGTACGAGAATTCAACTGTAAAAGAAATATTTGAAAGGCATAAAGAATGAAGAATTTGGAAGAAGGATAGATTTCTAGTATTAACTGCTCAAATAGCATCCTCAAAAATTTCACACTAAAAAAAAAGAAATATATTAAGTTAACTATTTAAAACTTAAAAAATTAGGAGTATGAAAAAATAAGAGTGAAAAAAAATATAATTGAATATTATTGATAGATGCAGGTTTCAAGATTTTTAAACTCATTGAAAAGTAAAAGATAGCCATTCAGTATTCCAGTACTTTCACCACATTTTGTTTTAATTACATAAAGTGTTATTTTTTATTGTATATTTCAAACTAATTTATATTTAAATATACATCTGAAACTCCGTTTATTAATCCAAAAATGTAAAGAATAACCTACATCTAATAGTAAAATAGTCATGACCAATTTAAAACCATTTAAAAGCAATCCATTTCATTCCCACTTAAGGTTACTACATTTCCTTTCTGCCATAAATGGTTAAAATTTTTAGAATTACTATTACTCTTACTCATACAATATTAATTTCATTATTTTATTAGACCATTATTTTGACCGTTTTGCTGATGCCAGGGCTCAAAATTGTTAGCCCAGTTTTTCGATGATAACATCTTTCATGATGAGTTTGAGAACGTGAAAATTTGATGTATTAAGAATAGGAAGAAGAAAATCAAACTAAAACATTTGAATTCCTGGAAACATCATTTTTCTATATAAATAAACTATATTAAAATGATTTTAAATGTTCGTTACCACAAATTCTAAATCAAAACTATAGTTTTTAATACCGTGGTTTTTTATCGAACAGTAGTAAGTCACAACAACAAAATTTTAAATTAATTGATTTTTTGGCTGACCATATAACTGTTTCGAATATTGCCAAATACCCATCATCAGTGGTCTTAAAAATAATTCTGTATTTAATTATTCGTAAATAATTTTTTGAGACTGTTAGTACCAAAAGTTAAACGCGTACACTGCCATACTTAAATCTCAGAGTCAGTGTTTATTAGCCAATTGATCCAAAGCCGTACTTGACTTGTATGTCCCAACTTGGAGTTTTGTTAATCTATCAAAAAGCTCAACTCTACTTTATTAAAGGAATGCACTTCTTTGTAGTTAAAAGAATAAACTACATTTTTAACCTAACTATAACTTAGAAAATCACCCTAGTAGTAACTTTTTTCTTCTTTTATTCAATCGTCAATATATTTCAAAAATGCCTATGAATACATTCTTAAATGTTCATTCTGAAAATGTTCATTACCCTAATTTTCTTGTCCTCCTGGTTTTAATATTCAATATTTTAAAGATTTTGGAGTAAAGCTTATATTATATATAACTATTGTATTATTATTATTAAATAATAGGCTATAAATGCACCTTGACCTAAAATATCTATTGTGTGTCTAAAAACCCAATTAAAACAATTCTAGACTATTTAAAAATCTCGTAATCGTTGTGGGCTTAATTTTACCTATTTGATTTTGGACTAAGATCCTGCATCCAAGTCAGTCAAGTTCTGATGTTTCCATCTCCTCATGATAGAGTCGACAGGAATCACTATCTACCACAACTATATTCTTTATGTGATAATTAAGTCTACATTGTCCTGTAAGAAATTCAGTGTAGAGTTCAATGTAGTTTCTGCTAAAACTAAGAATAGCGTCAACTTTGATGTATCCAGAATCAATTATTCTTCTTGACTGCCGTATGCCAGTTTGAGCTCTCCAGTGTTCAAGTAGATTTCGTTTGTCCCGTTAACATAACTACTGTATAAACATTAACTTACCATTTCCAATTAATTCTATGTACTCTATTAATTCTTTCTGTTTTTATTTACCGATTGATAGAGGTGCACAGCTCATGTATACTTATTTTGGCGTCATTATTAAGTAGCTCTATTTACTTATTTCCTTTTTAAATTATAGTTCTGAAGAGAAATTCATGCAAATTCCCTTTTGTGATATAAGATTTTATTTTTAACCCTCAATCCGGATGATGGCCGCAATAAATACACATCTCTCCATTTTTTCATATCCAAATTTAAGTAATCTTGTACATATTCTCTGCGGTTTAGAGTTTTTATATATTAAGAGTATTAGAAGTGAACCCATTATTCATTTGAAATTTTTTCATTTTTGGACTAAGTAAAGATTTCCTGAATTTATTATACTTTAAAAATAATAACAAACTCTTTAAGTATTAATAGCATTATTTGATTTTAATTATCTCATTGACTCTCTATTTATGTACAATATATCCTTCTTTCACAATGATACAATATTCCATGTGTCAAAGCTTCCTCTCTATGTCTCTATCAAGTGTTTTACCTTCATAATTTAGAAGGTACATTTTCTTTAAGTTACTTTCAACTACATCTAATTAGTGATTTTAGGTCGAACCCTTGCTTAAAATCCGTACTGCACGCTATCATCACTCGTGTACCTGTCATGTCCAATTCAACTCAACATGCTTTTCAAGAGTTGTTTCGTCTGTTCTATACCACTTTGTCTAGGACTAGATCACTTATTTTTCTTTAAATTTTCTTTCACACATTTTCTAAACGTTTGAAATCAGCTATATGTAGAATCGAATCCACGCAATTATAGGTTCGCATAGATCGCATAGCTGTTTTGTACATATACAGATTTAGGCTTCTAGATATCAGCTTGAATTGAATATTTGCTACCTTATTTCGATATTTAATTGCATATATAGAATAGAGTCTCCAGTATTTGAAAACAACCCTCCTAAGTATTTAAAGCTTTTAATAGACTTTATAAAAAAAGAAAAGTTCTGAGATTAAAAGTTTTGACTCGGTCTTTATATACACAACTTTATAGCCATGCATTGAATGTATAGCATATATATTTTGTCACATATATTATATATACTAAATAAAAGTTATTGTACTGAACTATATTCGTATATCGACAAAAAAAATGTTATGAACCATAAATCTACTTGAGGGACTCGAGGGTTTACAAAAGTGAATTAATTTGTAAAGTGCTGTTGAATAAAAATTTTTTATTTAAATTTAGAAATGTGTTTAAGAAAAAAATTTTAGTTTTATATTTTAAATTATAAAAATTTGAAATAAAAAATATAAAACAAAATAATAAATTAAATAAAAAAAATTAAAAATTATTTAAGAAGTAAAATAAAGGTGTAATACAAAGAGAAATAAAAAGTGATTTATTAAGAAAAATATAAAATATAGAAATTAATGTAATATTTTTAGGTCGAAGGGAAAAATAAAAAACAAATTATTAGTATATAAAAAATAATATATTTAATAAAGAACCGAAAAATTATATAAGAAGTATGTTATAAGTATGGTACGAAGAGGAATTAAAACTGATTTATTAAAAAAAATAAATTAATATAATATTTTTTATTCGAAGGAGGAAATAAGAGAGATGGTTTTTATTTCAAGAGATTAGCAATAAAAAAAAAACTAATTATAAACTAACAGAGTATTTAAATAAATTTTAGCGGAAATCAAAAAAACAATGAATTCTAGTCACATAAATTATTTACCAAAATTGTTAAAAATATTTTTAATATACCTATATAATATATATAGCAAATACTCTATTTATACACAAAGCAGATCGAATCATTTTTACGAAAACCACAATGACAGACATACACACACACGTTTAATACTAGTATATGTTAGTAGATATATATGTATCATATACTATATCATTAGATATAGTATCTAAATGAATAAAATTTCCTACAAATAATCAAGTGCCTAGAATAAAAATTACTTAACTTATATCAATAAATAGAAAAAAAGCAAATAAATAAATAAATAAAAATAATGAAAGTCAAGGATTGTGGAAAAAATTGTTATTTAAAAATATTATAAGAAACGAATTGGAAGTAATTTTTAACCAAAGAATATTTTTTGACTATAAATAGGATAAGTAAAAGGTAAAAAAAGAAAAGAGAAAGAAACAAAATAAAAGAGATGGAAACAAAAAAGTAAATATTGTTAAGATAATGTCTGTGTGCATTATATTTTTTTGCATTGTAAAATATATACATTAAGTACGCTATTGTAAATAAAATATTAATTAATAAAATAATGTATTTATAAATATATATTAACTATTAAAAAAATTAGTAGAAATATTACGATCTTTTACTGCGAGTCTTGAGATTTTTTATGTCCCTTAAAACCACACGGACCAGCGCAATATTTTATATTATATAGAAATCTATGTTAAGATTTTATTACTTAGAGTGAAAACTCAACATTATCATCAATTATTATAAACCTGTAATCTTTCAATAACAACTTCGAGAAGTTAGCCTGGCTGGTCTGTGTATATTAAATGCATAGTTTTAGCGGGTTCACTTTATAAATGCTGAACATAATATAAATGTCTCATCCTCATGTAATAATTTTCTTATGATTGCTCAGAAATAGTTCCATAACATTTCTGCTAAATGTTTGAATATATAATTTTATCGAAACATCTTTTAACAACAAAATTATATCTGCATTATGCAAATTCTGCATCACTAAAACCAAAATTGACATTATCTACTGATGCTTCTATTATTTTTTGGCCCAAATATGAACACAAGTTGTTTGTAAAATTTCTTAGTGCTTGTCGATAAGCAACGTGTGACCTAATAATTATTTTTTATATGCATACTCATACCAATGTCTCAGAAAGGGGAAGTGGTATAGCAGACGGCATTAGATGAAATAATATATATAATATACGCAAGAATTGTTATGCACAACGGCTCGCTGTTTTGGGTCGTTTTGTGTTGTTATTATTGTTGTTGTTGGCTTACTTTATTTGCGATTTTCAAATAGATCGAATAACGAACTGAGTGAAGTAAAGCCGCATAAGCAACTGCGTGTCCATTCTTAGTCTATAAATTTATTTTTACTTCTTTTTTCGTGTCCATTAATAGGAATATTTTATTAAATTTGACATTATAAAAAATTCTTTATATAAAATCCTTTATATAAAATCCTTTATATGAAATTCCTTATATAAAATCCATTATAAAAAATCTCTTATATAAAATCAATCGAGCTTAAGGAATGGCGCTTTAAATTGAACGCACCTTATTTAATTTAATCCTTTCTTAATTCCTTTCTGGTCATGGATGTGTTGAATAATACCTTTTCCGCATTGTCAAAGCAAATAATCCGAAATGCATATACGAAGATGCAAACAAAGACTGTGCTGAGTACACCATCTTCAAGTGCAACAAATGGAACATCGCAAGAAAATCACTTGAAACAATAGTCGGTGAAGTATCAATAGTCGAAAAAATCACAACGAAAATGATACTATCTGCAGAAAACTAGACCGCCATAGACCGATTTGTTATGTTCGTACTCAAACAGAAAAAATATGGTCTAGAAAGTGACCAATTTTAAAAAAGAGAAAAACAAATAAACCTAAATGAGGTCTGGACGGAGGCTAATGAAAAAAAACAAAATTTTTAATGGAAAACCAACATGGAGACCCTATCTTGCAGTGTTCCCGATAACGTTCCAGGATATAAACGGTCTAGTACATGAGGGGGATTGTTTTTAGTCCGTGCAAACCGGGCATACCATTATTGTGACGACATAGTGATGATGTGTTAGGCAGTTTTAAACCTCCTCATCGCAAAAACCAAAAAAAAAAAACCAAAAAAAAAATTCTCAAATAAAATTTCTGTTTTCTATAGAAAATAACTCCTATAACAGAAGACTAAATTCAAGTGTCCCCATATTTACATAAAATGAATTACTTAAAAGACATTCTGTAAGCCAAGCTACAAATTTATATTACAAAAATTATAAATAATTATTAAATTTTAAAAAAGTATTTGTTTAAAATCTTTTTAATATTTAAATACAGTAATTAGTTGATTCCTATAACTAACCAAAAAAAAAAGTTGAATAAAGCAACTAATATCTAATTTCTAATATATTTATTAAATTATATATTTCGTACAAATTAAACTAATATAATTATAAAATAATTTTTAGAAATAAATTTCAAACAAAAAGTTTCATAAGAGTATTCGTTATTAAAAGTAAAAAAAAAAAATTGTTATAATCTATTAAATAGGTAACCGCAACTAGAAATATAATATGGCGAGCATTTAAGTCTTTTGATGTACTCGTTATTAACGAAGGATAACAAATATTAACCGAAAATGTCCGTAGTCTTCTGCTTAAGTTTACCCCAGAAACCGGAAGGCTCAGCTTCTGCTTTTACTTCAATTTCCTAAAAGCAATAATAAATTAGCATTAAATAAAATCTAAATAAATAAAACTATACTTATCAATAAAATAATACTTTTCACTTACCGACTTAGCAGTCACAACTTGCTTTTGACTAGCTTCCTTCTCTTTTGTTGTGAAAGTTCCGGTTAGATCTTCAACCTGCACTTGCTGCTGTCCATAGTCCTCTAGTTGCTGTTGTTGTTGTCCAGCATTATGTGCGTTGTATTGACCATTCCAAGCCAGTTCCACTTGTTGTTGTTGTCCAATATCATGTGCATTATACTGACCGTTCCAAGCTAGCTCAACTTGTTGTTGTTGTCCAAAATCATCAACCTGTTCTTCTTGCTGTTGTTGTTGGCCTTCATCAGTAGTAAGTGCATGAGATTGCATACCATTAAAGCTGTAATGCCTACTTGGATGTGAGTATTGACCATAATGTTGGCCACCACCCACACTTGCACTAGCAGAGGCTGTATTACTATCTGCGGTTGCTGTCGCACTCGCTACACCTACTGGTACTGTGAATTGATATTCTTTCTTAGTATAACGGTAACCGCTTTGTACTCCACTGCCGGGCATATTAACAGTAGTTTGAATCGCTGGCGGGCGTGTAGAAAGTTCACGTAATTCTGCAGAAGGCAATGGATACAATGGTTCTTGTCCAGCTACACCTGGTTCATCGAAATCCATTTTCTCGTCATATACATTTGGTGGTTGATCGCCACGATCCTTTGAGATCACTGGATGTGGCACATTTGTAACATTTGTAGAACCCTTTCCAGTTTCATAACCACCAGTACCAAAATTCATTGGCAACAAACCTTGACAAAGCAAATATAATCTACGGCGCCATTCCAGGAGTTCTTCACCAGTCAAGCCAGTTTCGTGTTCTAATTGCTTTATGCGCGCTTCTTCGATTTCAGCCCATTGAATACGTTCCGCTTCGGAGCTCAACTTTTTATGCATAATATATGTTAGGTACATTATTTCTTTCTCACGGAATTGTTGCAATTGACTCAAACTCATTTTGTAATGCTCAGCTAGTTGTTGTATGCGATCATATTCTTTCAGTTGCCAATCCTTCAATGCTTGCACCGAGATACCATACTTAGCAGCCCATTCATTGAATAACATATCTTGTCGTTGCCAATTTTTCAAGTTCTTTAGCGAAATGTTTTGATTCTTGATCAAACTATAAAGACGATCACGTTCACGTTTTTGCCAATGCTCCAACTTAAGCAATTTGGTGTGGTCAAATAAGCCTTCTCGTTCCATCACACCAATTTCAATTCTTTGGAAAGGTGCTAGTTGATCCAGAGAGCAACCATAAACTTTAGCCAACTGCAATTGGAATTGATGATCACCAGCTATGAATTCTAACAGTTCTTCTTCAGTTATAGTAATATCAGCGACTATAGTACGCAAACGCTCACGTTCCTCTTGTTGCCATCTATTGTAAGCATTATTAGAAGTATTATCCAACAAAATACCTAAATTAACCAAGCGACGAAGTTCGTTTTTAATCCAATATTCTAATTCCTCAATGGATACATGATACTCATCAGCTAAGGTATTTAAACGAAGTTTGTCTTCCAACAATAGCTTTTCTAAACTGCTTTGAGTTAAACCTGGTTGACGCAATGCTATCCAATACAAACGGTCCTTCTCCTTCGATTGCCAGTCTGTTAAATTCTCGGTAACAATTTTTCTTTGATCTAATAAACGTTGCAATTCTTGTTTATACCATGCCTCAATTTCTTCTACAGTTACATGATATTGTGTGGCTAAATTTTGTAGATGTGCGATATCTAGCTTCAGCTGACGTTCTAACTCTTCCAAAGACCATTGCTGCTGCTTGCGATACTTCTCGTCTATCAATTTTTGTATGTAATCCTGCTCTTTGAATTGCCACTCTTCCTCAGTAACAGTGCCATGTATCAAACCTTCTTTGGATAAGTTCTGCGCAACGTCACGCAACCAAAACTCAATTTCCTCTACTGTGATATTATACTGCCGGGCAAATTGTTCCCAACGCATGCGATTCTCCTTCAGATAGTTTTCAAATTGCTGCCAGTTCATCGGTTTTACCTGTGCAACAGCTTGCAAATGAGCCCGAGTTTGAACTTTCCACATCTCTTCATCGGTGGTTGTAGTAAATGGATGGTTAATATGCACTTCTCTATATATCTGAGGTAATTGGTGTTTGACCCAAGTCTCTATTTGTTCAATATTCACATGATATTGAGTTGCCAAACGCATTAAATGTGGACGGTCCTGTTTAAATAACTGTTCGAATTCCTGTACACTTAACTGTGGTTGTTGACGAAGTTTTTCTTTGATCAAATTTTGTATATATAATTTTTCATTAACTTGCCAATTCTCCTCTTTAATCGTACTTCCATTAATTAAGCCTTTTTTTGATAGCTCCTGTGCTGATTGGCGTAACCACATTTCGATTTCTTCAACAGTTATATTATAAGTGCGAGCAATTTGTTCCCAACGTATGCGTTCCTCAGTCAAATAACGTTCGAAGTCTTGCCAGCTCATTGGCTTTACTTGCGCAACTGCTTCCAAGTGTGCCCGTGTATGTACTTTCCACATTTCATCAGCTGTGTTATGATTTGGTACAAATATAATTTCAACTGGACGCTTGACCATTCCCAAAATTTGTAGCCTAGCACCTTCTTGTTGAACCCAGCTCTCAACCTCTTCGACAGTAATATGATAGTCATTCGCAATGCGTTGTAATCGCTCTTTGTCTCTCTTTAAAAAGTCTGTGAAATCTTCATAGGTGGCTGCATTGTTTTGTTGTTTAAGCCAATCTTGCAGGCGATCGCGTTCAATTTTTTGCCAATAAGTCAACTTTTCTACTTGCAACAATCCTGAATTTTTCAATCGCTGTAACTCATCACGCATCCATCGCTCAATTTGCTCCACACTTACACTGTATTGTCTGGCCAGTTGCTGCAGATGCTGGTTATCACGTCGCAATTGCATTTCAAACTCTTCAAAGCTGACGTTGTTTTGTTGCTGTAAAAGCATGTCAATTAAACGTTTTTGCTCATCTTCCTGCCACTTGGTTAAGTTTTCGACTTGGATCTCACCTTTTGTCTTCAAATTGAGCAATTGTTGTCTCAACCACGTTTCGATTTGTTCAACGCTCAACGAATATTGATTTGCAAGCTCCTGCAAGCGTGCACGTTCCTTCATCAATTCCATCTCAAATTGAACATAACTTATGCGATTATTTTGCTGGATCAAATCTTTAAGACGCTGTGCCTCACTAACCTGCCAAACAGACAAGTTTTTAACATGATTTTCGGAATTTTTCCTTAAACGTTGCAACTCTTCAATCATCCACTTTTCGATTTGCTCGACGTTGATTTTATACTGATTTGCCAGTTGTTGGAGATGAGCACGATCTGTTAGTAGCTTATCTTCAAACTGTTTGGTAGTTAGTTCATTATTGTACTGATCCAATAGTTGTTTTATATAGTCACGTTCCACAAATTGCCAAGTTTGCAAATTCTCAACTTCAAATTTTCCTTTGTCACGTAAATCATCGATTACTTTCTTAATATACTCCTCAACTTCAATAACACTGACATGATATTGATTAGCTAAGTTCATAAGAAAACGTCGATCTTGCTGCACCTTACGTTCGAAGTCTTCAACTGAAATAATAGATTGCTGTTGCAACAGATTTAATATGCGTTCATGTTCTGCCTTTTGCCAAGCAGTTAGCTGTTCAATATTGAGTTTGCCCTGCTGCTGTAAACGCCCCACTTCAGACTGTATCCACTTTTCGATTTCCTCAACTGATGTGTGGTATTGGAATGCCATTTTTTGCATATGTTCTCGATCCTTACGTAATGCCAACTCAAACTCTGTTGCACTCCATTGTTTGTTTTGTTTAATTAATTTCTCTAAACGTTCGCGTTCCGCAATCTGCCAGGCAGTTAGATTATCGATTTGCAATTGACCATCATCACGTAAGCGTGCCAACTCCTTCTGCATCCATTTTTCAATTTCTTCCACTTGTACACTGTAATCACGTGCAAGCTTCTCAAGCAATTCACGGTCTTGTCGCAGACGTTGCTCTAGCTGTTCGGTGGAATGATATTGCTCTTGTGTAATGCGTTCCAAGTATCTACGCTCAACCTCTTGCCAATTTGTAAGTTTCTCATTTGGTTTTAGCAGTCCCAACGCTATAAAGCGTTGTTCTTCATTACGCACCCATTGTTCAATTTCTTCAATTTGCACGTTATGTTGCATTGCTAATGTCTGCAGACGCGCACGGTCCTCAAGCAACCATTTGTGAAACTCTTCAACTGTGAAGTCGCGTTCTTGCACCAAATTTGTCAAATTTCCACGCCAATCAGTTTGCCAATCTTTCAGTTTTTCCATTTCTACAACACCTTCTTGTTGAAGTCGTAATATTTCGTTTTTGATCCATTCTTCGATCTCTTCAACACGCACTTGATGCTGGTGTGCCAAACTGTACAGATGCACTTGATCCTTTTTAATTTTATCTTCTAATTCGTGAACAGTCAAATTATTTTGCTTAACAAGAGCTAACAAGCGATCACGTTCAATTTTTTGCCAGTTATTTAATTGTTCCTGCATTTGCAATAAACCTAATCCCTGCAAACGCTCACCCTCTTTCTTGATCCATACTTCAATGTCTGATATTTTTACATTGTACATGTTTGAGAGATCTTGCAAGCGCTTCCTATCAGCCAATAGTTTTTTCTCAAATTCTTCAATTGTCAATTTATTTTGTTGAACAATATTTAAAATTTTGTCCCGTTCCTGTTTTTGCCAATCCTTGAGATCTTCCACTTTAATTAGACCTTCACCTTGTAAGCGTAGCATTTCTTTCTTCAACCACTCCTCGATTTCATCAACACGTACATGATACGTATTTGCAAGCGCATATAAATGCCCCTGATCGGTTTTTATCATCTTTTGTAATTCCTCAACAGTGAGCTCATTTTGCTTAACTATAGCCTGTAGACGGTCGCGTTCCTTTTGCTGCCATATTGCCAGTTCCTTCTCAACCTCTTTCAACAAACCTTGTGACTGGAAGTTTTTGATTTCATTTTTAATCCAATTCTCAACTTCAGATACTTGTATCTTATATATTTTGGCCAAATCCTCAAGACGTGCACGATCACTCATAATTTGTGTTTGAAATTCTTCGATTGTTAGATCATTTTTACTAACAATAGACATCAGATGTTCTCGTTCACGTTTCTGCCATTCTTTTATGCCCAACTCCAAATTTGTTTGTCCTTCTTTATTCAAACGTTCAAGCTCAGAGCGTTGCCATTTCTCAAGATCTTCAATACTTACGTGATACTTAGCTGCCAACGCTTGTATATAATTGCGATCACGTGCCATTTGTGCATCGATATCAGCTACAGAACCTTGATGATGTTTAACAATGTCTTCCAACCGCTCACGTTCAGAACGTTGCCACTCTGATATACGTGTCATTTCATTGTGATGCTCAGTAATTGCACCGTTTATACGAGCCAGTTCTTCTTTGAGCCATTTTTCCATATCCTGCACATTACCACGATACTTTAATGACAATTCAACCAATTTTTGTTGGTCCAATTGTATCGATTTTTGTAAGTTTGAAATGGACTCATTATGTTTACGTATAAGTTCATTTAAACGTTCCTGTTCATTTGTACGTAAAGAATCCGAATTTGGACGAGCCATCATTGAGTTATTTTGGTCATTAAAATAAACATAAAGGCGATTAAGTTCCTCAATCTGCCAATTTTTAAGCTCAGTTAACGATATTCTATATTGACGCGCTAATTGCATTAACTTGTCTTGGTTTTCACGTTGCCAACGTTCTAATTCCTCTTTCGAAATACTGTTTTGATGTATTAACCAATCAAGACGTCCACGTTCCAGTCGCTTCCAAGCAGTAGTGTCAGTGCTTTGTGCTTGGTATTGATTGCATAACACACGATAGCGTTCCAACTCCTTGCGATGCCATTCTTGTATGTCTTCAACTGTTGTATGATAACGTTGAGCCATTGCCAACAAACGTTCCTCTTGCTGACGTTGCCATTGTTCAAGCCTTTGCGGTGTGGTAGCACCTTGGGACAAGAACCAGAAGAAACGCTCACGTTCTTCACGCTTCCAGGCTTCATCGCGTGGAACCGTCCACTCACCAAATGGACGCTCAGTATCTATAACCAGTTTGCCATCTACCCACTTTTTATTCACCTCAGAACCATGTACAGTATTTGTGCCGTCGGGATGTGAAATTATTGTCTTATTTACTCGAGTAACCGTTACTGTCGAACCAGGATTATAGCTTGGGCGGTAAACATCACCAGAATTCACTTGGAAAACTTCAGCATCAAAATTTTTATTGTTATCAACACCAATATGTACTGGTGGTTTATAAGTTTCCATATTAGCACCCCATTCGCCACCAATATTTATCACAGGATTATAGCCAACAACACTAGGCTCCATATTCTTATTCACCCAATCGTAAATAGTTTTCTTACGTGTAACAGTAGTAGTGCTTGAACCACCACCAGGTACATAAATAGTAGGATAGTTGTTTACCACAGCACTGTTATCATAAATACTGGGACTATATCCGGGTACCGTATTTGTAGAGATTGTAGTGCGATTACGCTTCAATACAGTGACGAGTGGATTTGCAAATGTACCATCGCCAATTTTGTGAGCTTCAGTTTCATTTTTCTGAACAACGTAAGTTTTTCCATCAATCACCTTTACTTCTGCGGGATATGCGTAGTTTTTAACTTCATCAAAATTCGATAAATCAACTGGCTGATAAAGTCCAATATCTAAAGCCTGCTGTTGACCAAAGTCTTCTACATCAGGATTGGCATAGCTCTGCAAAGCTTGCGCTGCTTTCCATTCAAAAAAGTTGGGTTGCGCTATTTTGTTATATGTAATCAAACCTTTACGCATATCGGTAACAAGTTGCTCACATAAACGACGGCTCAAGGCATCCAATTCTGTGGAGGTTTTACCAGTCAGATTTATAATATTTTCTAAAAAAGATTTAAGTAAACAGTATATATAAAGTTTTAAATTCTATTAACTGAAAGCACATACCATTCCAAGGCGTAACATGATCATCTACATAACCCGTACTACTTCCCTGTGACATTTGATTGTACTCTTGACGCAATCTATTAGCAAATTGATGCACTTCATTCATGTGACTATAGGCCCAAGAATTCAACAAGCAGCAATCCTCCGTATGATCGCTAGAAGTTCTCGAACTACTGTAGCTATTCGAAGTTTGCCTTTGATAAGTTCTGTAGCCACTGCTCCATTGCGCTAGAGCCAGCACCAACAAAATCAGGCTGAAAGCCTTCATTCTGTCTTCTCTACTCAAATTGATGAATCTTTATTGACTATTGTCTAAAAAAAAAATCCAAATAATAAATGTTAATAAATAGTAACTATGTAATTATATTCTATATACATAAGATGAGCAGCAAGTCTGTGCCCGAAACATATGCTTGTGCTCTAAATAATAAATATTCATATTAAAAAAATTTTTTGAGATAAGCAATTTATTTTTGAATTAATAAACTCGATTCCCTACTATCTTATTAAATAATTTATTTGAAATAATCACATATTTTTTCTAATTTAGATTATCTTGAATGCGCTTATTAAAAGGTTCAAGAGGTCTAAGCATTATAGCATTTTAGTGTTCCAATTTGAGAAATGTATATTTATATGAAAGATCATGTGCACGTACACAGGCATTTTATTACCAATTTTATGAGTTGGTCTAGATTGCAGGAGATCGTAAAATCGAAAAGAATATCATCAGCATGACAAATGTCAAAAAATATCTTCCAGTCGAAAAGCAATATTTTTTAAAAACATGCGCTTTCCATCCGGTGGGCAACAAAAAATTATTGGCTATTCTTATAAGCTTGGTTTATGCAGTAAATAATATATATATATATATGTATATATATATATATTACTATATCGCTATAAGGTACTTTAGCTCATCAACTAAGTAATGTGAACAATATGTAATTCATTATTTAAATGACATGACAATCTTCATCTATAGAACTGAATATTCACAGGTGCAAATCCAAATAAGTGAATAGCGTATCTATTATTTTCTCCATCTCTCTAAAACGAATAAATTTCAAAAGAAACAATCCAAACAAGGAATGTTTTTACTATTAGAGACAGTAAGTACCTGCTTAACTGTCACAATCGGATACTTGACTGAAGTATCCTATATAAAATTTAATTAAATCAAGATAAATAAATATATACATAAAATAAAACAAAATAAAAATAATATAAAAATTTAATAAAATTGATATATAAATAAAATAATATCAAAAGAAAATAAACAAAATTTAAATTAAATGAAAATAAAATAAAAATAAATGCTCATAATTTAATAAAAATTATAAATTATAATATGAATTTTAATTATATTATAATATGAAAAGAAAGTAAACAAAATGAAAATTGAAATAAAAAATGAAAATAAAATAAAAGTAAAAAAAATAAAGTTAAATAAAATAAATTAAACCAATCAAAATAATAATAACAAAAACAAGAAAAAAAATTAAATATAATATAAATAAAATAATATAAAAATAATAGACAAATAAAAAGAAAACAAACAAGAAATTAATAAGAAGCAGTAAATTTATAAATAAAAAAAATTTAAATAAAATAAGATACAAATAAATAAATAATAATAAATGAATGATATTAATAAATAAATACTGATAATATTAAATAAATAATAATAAAAAATAAGTAATAATAATAAACAAATAATGACAATTATGATAATATTAATAATAATAACAATAATAATAGTAATAGTAATAATATAATAAGAACAATATAATAATAACAATATAATAATAATAAATAAATAATATATAAAATTAAATAAAATAACGATGAGAAAAAAGAAGATTTTTTAATAAAATAATAATAATATAAAAATATTTTAATAATATAAAAATAATTTAATAATATAAAAATAATTTAATAATATAAAAATTACTTAAGAAAATAAAAATAACTTAAGAATATAAAAATAAAATGTACATAAAATACAACAAAGTGAAATTAAAATAAAAGTACATTAATATGAGAATAAACAAAATTTTAAATTGAAGAAAAAATTAAAAAAAATAAAAATTCACTACAACAAAAAATTGAGCACAATTTCCCCTCTCTATTGAAAAATTTTATCTCTATATTAAAATTTATGATTCTTTCGCCAAAATGAATTTTAAAATTAATTTAATATAAAACAAAAAACATTTAATAAAAGCAATTTTTAATAAAATAACCTGAAAAAACGAAAACAAAAAAAAAATATAAACTAAAGTCGAAATAGAAAAAAAAATATAAATCAAACGAAAGTAAACATAATTATTTCCAAGAAAATAAAATTAACATGGAAAATAAATAAAAGAAAACCAAAAGTAAAATGATAATCAAATAAAAATGAAATAAAACCTCAACTTAACTCATGTATGGTATATATATATAAATTAAAATAAGCAAATGAAGATCACAAGACAACATCGTTTGTATTGCAAATTTTTTTTTTTTTGTTTTTCACAGTTTTGTGTTTATGCACACCATTAAGAACTTGCTTTTAGCTTCACTGCTGTATGTGGAGTCAAAAATTGTAATTTATTTATAATTATAATCCACACCCCTGTATAATCTATATTAAAATAAAATATATTGAGCTTCAATATATATGTATATAAAACATACATAAAAATAAAAAAAAGCATTAAAATGAAAAATTGGGTCAACTTCACAATTACATTGCACACAAAATAAACTTTATTATTTGAGTTTAGTTCATCATTATCTCTAAAATTATTAAAAATAAAGTTTATAAATAGCTGCAATTCACTTTTTCATTTTAGGAAGTTTGTATGCATGGACGACTTTTCGTATCTGATGTCACAATCTAATATGCGGAGCTTGTGTCATGCACTTTACATGTAAGCGCAATGTGCATCTATAATTGCTATTTTTGTAGATACAAATTAAAAAAGTACTCGGAATATCAAATGAAAACTTAATTTTAAATAAATTTGAAATATTTATAAACAAGTGCAAAGACTGATGTATCCATTAAATATAGAGGTGTGCCGCACAAATCATAGAGACACACACATAACTAATACGAAAAAGTATATGAAAAATCACAGTTAATGTATTGAGATGTGCTTTTATTACAATAAAAAAAAATTGAATATTAAGTTAATAATTTTTTTTAGAGTAACGAATTGAAGACAGACTATATATTAAGAGTATTCCATACGGTATTTTGCATTTGCATCCACAGAATTAAAAAATTCAGAGATTTGTCCTCGATGTATTCTTCAACATTTATTCTTGGATATTCATATATATCATTCTTTCTAACATATCATGATGCAAACAATAAAAGTCTTGCTTTAAAATACCGGTAAGTTTGAAGTTTTTAAAAAGTAAATAAACCAACATTGCCATAAGCCAGAGAATCGTAGAGATATTTAGATCTAAGTACTTCTTCATAAAACATTGTTCAGTATTATTCACAATTTATTCAAAATTATATTGCACGCCAGTTTATATATATATATATATATACCAATTGAAAAGTTCGAACTCTATATTACTTTAAAGCATTGAGAATAATATGTAATTGTGAAAAACAAATTTGTCATTTGAATAGCTTATTCGAAGTCATCGAATATTTGAAGGACTCGATCCAAATGTTCGAATTCAATTATATTCAAACTTTTCGAACATTTGGTATTGACTTAGTTCGAAAACTAACTTAACTAGCCTTCGTTTTCGGTTTAAAATTTGCAAAATCTTTGCATCATTCGTTCGAATAACACTAACTGTTCGTCTACAATGAGTACACTTGGACAAGATGTTTATGTTCGAATGCGAATACGTTTTATTTTCGAATTTTGTCTGCGAAAATAAAATTTATAAGTATTAATGAAAATGTAGGAGTGTGTACAAAACTCTGTATTGATTTTTCAAGTATGCAAATATATGCAAGTATATAGCATAAATTTTAATTTCTCTTATTTAAAACTATATTACTTTATTCGAAAGAGCATAAAAAAAAAGTATTTCACATGTTATTAATAATAACTTTACCCATATACATAAAAGAAAGTCGTGTTAGTTAGACCACTTATAACTCAAGAACGGCTGGACCAATTTTAATTATCTTTGATTTGTTGGAATTGTCTCCGCTCTAAATAGTAGAATACATTATAAAATATTGGAAAAATCCACTAATTTTAGCAAAAATAATAAATTTGTAAATGCTGTTTTAAACTGTTGACAGTTCGACAGTTTGAGTGATATTGATTTCTTTTTAAATTTTTTTTTCAAATATTTCAAATATTTCAAATTTCAAATATAATAAATTCAAATATAATAAATAAATATGAGCTGAAAGTATTGATATGTTTGTTTGTGCGAGTGCCAGATTCACCATCATATTGAATCATTGCAACCTGTTGAAGATGCACAACATAAACTCTTGCAAATATACTTCATGGGCAATATGATGGAACAACTTGAACGGCGTCAAGAGATCAACACAGCAATGAAAATAGCAATTCTTCAAGATCTGCAGCAACTACTTCATGAACATCATGCATTGGTCAGGCTGTTCAAGACTGCGTTGGAGCGCATGCCACATGATAACTACAAAGTTGTGATTAGAGCGGATAAACGACCACTGATGTTTTGGCAAGAAGATGATGGATATCACTTCAATATAAAAATGATAAACCCATTGAATGGTGGGTGGGTATCAACATCATAGTTTTCAATTCAGAATACTGACGTGAGTCTTACTTCTAAGATACTAATTTTACTGTTTTTAAGTCAGGTGAGGAAACTACCAAGAAAATTAGTTCGTGTAATCCAAAATGGAAAGAAATTGTTCAAATGCTGCTTCCTGGACAGACATCAAGTGATCGGCACGACATCACTGCACGTGTATTCAAACACAAAATTCGATCGCTGATGAATCTAAAATTTAATATAACATTGTTTCCTTTCCTTCTAATATTATTAAACATAATTTTAATATTATTTTAAATTCTTCGAAGACTTTGTTTTAGATAAAATGATTGTACAATAATAATATATTTATATGAAAAAATTTTTAGACAAAATTTTAAATTTTTTATTATTATTATTTTTAAATATCTTAAAAATCCGATATCAATCAGTCAAAATATCTTAATACGTTAGAGGATGCTTTAATTTTTTTGTTATATTATAAAGTAGTTTTTTTAATATTATTAAAAATTATTATTATTGAATATTAAATTTAATATTTTATTTTTTTTATATCATTAGAAATTCTTAGAGAGGTTCCGAATAGTAGTGAACTACAACAACATAAAGTATTTTTATATTATTTTAATTAATTGAATTTTTGGCTAACCATACAGTCAACATTTGACAATACTCAAAACAGCTGTATGTTCAGCCAAAAATTTAATTAATTAAAATAATATAATAATAATTAATGTTGTTGTAGTTCACTATGGTTCGAAAGCTCTCTATTAATTACCACAGTTTCTGTTAAAGTAAAAATAGTCACTACTGTCATATTGACGTTAAAATCAAATTTAATTAGAAATTCTTCATATTTTAAATGATGTTTTTAATATATATTTTGTTATTTTTTATAGATCTCTTTAAAGTTTTATATTAAAAAATTATTTTAACGTATTTAACATATTGTTGAGCTATATCCGTTATTTTTATTTTTCAATGTGATTAAAAATTGTGTTTTAGATAACAATCTGTTTTTTATTTTAGACTATTATTTTTAAAATTTTTGTATTCTATTAAATTTTCATTATTTATTATTATTTTTATTATTTAAAATTTATTATTTATTTTTAAATTTCTCAAAAGGCTTGTATTAAATGGAATTTTTTGATATTTTTATTCTTCAATCTGCTAAAAACTTTTTTTAATATTAGACTATTATTTTTTTAATTATTATATTTTATTAAACTTTGCTTTATTGTTTATTATTATTATAATTTTTATTATTTTAAATTTATTATTTATTTTTAAATTTCTCAAAAGGCTTGTATTAAATAGAATTTTTTGATATTTTTATTCTTCAATCTGCTAAAAACTTTTTTTAATATTAGACTATTATTTTTTTAATTATTATATTTTATTAAACTTTGCTTTATTGTTTATTATTATTATAATTTTTATTATTTTAAATTTATTATTTATTTTTAAATTTCTCAAAAGGCTTGTATTAAATAGAATTTTTTGATATTTTTATTCTTCAATCTGCTAAAAACTTTTTTTAATATTAGACTATTATTTTTTTAATTATTATATTTTATTAAACTTTTCTTTATTGTTTATAATTATTATTAATTTTATTATTTTAAATTTATTATTTATTTTTAAATTTCTCAAAAGGCTTGTATTAAATAGAATTTTTTGATATTTTATTCTTCAACCTGCTAAAAATTTTGTTTTAGACAACAAACTTTTTTTAATATTAGACTATTATTTTTTAAATTATTATATTTTATTAAACTTTGCTTTATTGTCTATTATTATTATTAGTTTTATTATTTTAAATTTATTATTTATTTTTAAATCTCTCAAAAGACTTGTATTAAATAGAATTTCCTAATATTTATAGTAAAATTGTAGACATTTAAAATTGAACTCACTTTTTTATATACAAAAAATTGTAAATAAATATTCCATCAAAATGAACACATTAATATTTGATTGCAAATTAATAATATAAATAAATTTGTAAAAATATTTTTTTCACTCAATATATCCTTTGTGCAGGATTTTGTGGATATAAATGCTCTAAACAAACAAACAAACGCCAAACGAACACAAACGAAACGCACGTCTTTACTCCAAATGCGCGACTGACTTCAGAACTACTCAAGAAACGACTTAAATGAAATTTCAAGAGTCAACACAGAACCCACACACACACACACACTTTTTTGCTTATGGGACAAGCAATGGAGAATTGTCAACAATTTGACAGAAATACAAGCACAAACAAAAAAAAAATAAGAACACAACAAAAACAAATTCAAAACAAAGCAAAGAAATTAAAACAAAAACAATAACAAACAAATTATGCCGCGCTATTAACGAGCACGTAAACAGAGCAAATCTTTGAGTGAGCAAATTGTTGTTATTGGAGAGCAAAAGCTCATTCTGTTGATATGGATTTTTGGAAAATTTCAATGGCGTCTTACGTAGTCTTAATTCGGCGAAATTAGAATGTCAAAAAGTAGTTGTGTGAACCATCAGTGCACAGATTTAGTAAATGGCTTAATCACCGCGGCTACTGCGGCTGCTGCTGCGGCTACTGCGGCTACTACTAGTTCGTCAGCTGTGGCTTATGTGCGAGTAATTATTATTGTCGTTGATGTTATAATTTTGATTTTTACTGCAGTGAGTAACTGTGATTGCTGCTCCGAGACACAGACTTGAGTTCCGCTTTCGGTCTAATTTGAATTCTAAGCAATTTTTTGCAGCGTTTTTTTTTTCTTTTTTTTTTTGATTTATGTAAACAAAAAATATAAGAAAATGCAAAGAAAAAGAAGAAACACAAAAAAGTGTTTTGGATTTTCCAAACAAATTTTCAGTTTTGATTATTCTGAGAATTGCACCAAAGATGCTAAATTAATTTGATTAACATTAACTGGTCGAAATTTCATTCCTATTCTTTGCATTTCATCAAAATTCGTCAAATTTTTGATTATCTTATTTTGGTTTTTTTTTTTGTTAATTCAATGAATATCAGTAGAAACCTTTTAGATGACCTAAAGGGTATCGGAACAATTTGCTTTCGCCGTTAACTTCAGTTTGGTATTAGTCAGGATTCACACTAATTGAAATCAGTTGATGATTGGTTGATAGGAATAATTCCTTTTAGTTTAAAAATCCACGCATCTGGATCGATTTGTGCTACGCTGCATTACCCTAATACATAACTATGGCCTAGTTCTCGATATACCTGGTGAACTTGGTGTTCCAATAATATTGCACGTTCCCGTCTGATCTTCTGAGACAAATTCATTATGGACAATTTTTTTTTTAAATAAAGAAAACTATCAATATTGTCTTTATTTAGTTTTTTAAAAACCCCAGTTTTTTATCTTTCGTTATCTTTGGTAACACCTATTCCGTGCTCTGGTAATTTGCTTTCGTTTTATATTGCAAACATCCAATAGATGCGTTTAAGAGATCAGGATTACAAAATAAAAACAGAACATGGAGGATTCATTTAAATGGATTGGAAAAGGACGACTAGGACGATTAAAAGTTTAAATCAGCAATTATGCCACCAAAAACTAGAGGAATACCATAGATAGCGAAATTATCATAATCTCGCCCACATAAGGAAGTAAGGGTTTTTTCATAATTAACTCCAGAATAAAACAAAAGGAAAGGGAAAACATCCAATTTCATCAAGAGCTGACATGCTTGACTGTAACTAAATTCCTTTGAGACATTTTTAACACTCTTTCCAACACTGAACTCTGAAATCTATTTGGTTGTACATCTGAGTGTGTGGTAAGAAATATGCACATACTTTGCATTTCCTCAAATTTTTGGTGTGTGTTCAATAGATGTTTGTAATTTTCAGTATGCCAGTTTCATTTTCAATAACTCCCGCAAGTACACAGATGCAACTTCATCTTAGGGAAAAGGAAAATAGACGTTAAAACAAGATTCCAGACCATCATATTAAACATAACAGACAGCAAATAACCAACAAATGCTGGCAAACTAAGTTTTAAACTTAATTGCGACAATACGATGACGTCTACAATTACTAAATTTTCGCCTATGGCATATGTTTTATGTTTGCAACTAAAACTTTTTGAACACCCTTGATAATACAAGATCAAAAGAAACTATTCCGTTGAGAATACTAGAGAGAATACCTATAATATTACAGTATGTGAGTAATGAGAATGTTTAAAAGTTGACTTTAGGTAGTTATAGACTATACGCCCAGGTATTTGGCAACCTCGGTTGTGTTGAGTGTTTGCAAACAAAGATAAGCTTTGGCATCTTCTAATTACAAAAGAAAGAAAGTAAGATTGCTTTGTCTCATCATATAAATTAGTACAAATGAGAGGATATTAAATCGATGTAGAACCTCAAGGCTTATAAAGCTCAAAAATATGAAAAGAAGTTGATTGTCATGGTTTTTTATATATTCTTAATCTGTCTGTAGGTCCCTTCTTGTTAAATAATTAAACGTTTAATATATGTTATTATACTCTATATTTCGACTCTCCTTGAGAATCATTATCAGGATTACGATACATCCTTCTATTTGTTCTATTGTCTATTTTGTATTGTATTGTCTATGAGGAGAACGTATCGTAATCCTGATGATGACTCTCTGCATTGTTCAATATACACGATAGAACAAAGAGGAGAACGTATCATAATACTGATGATGACTCTTAAGGAGAAATATAGCGTATAAAAAAAAATATTAAACGTTCAACTATTCAACAAGGAGGGACCTACAGCCAGATTAAAAATATATAAAAAACCATTTTAATGAACAGGTTAAAAAATAAATAAAAAAAATTGAATTTGATTATCTTTTATATCTTAGAAAGCAATATAGAAATATAAAAACTCAAGGGAATAATCGAATTTAGTCAAGAAGCACAAGTTTAGGTGACTTTATGCAATAGTCTCTAATTGTCTTTTTTAACAGAACATAACAAAATTCTTTGACTTTGGCCGATCTAGTAACTTTATAATTACTATATAACTACCTCTAAATATAAGTATATATCAGCTTCTAAATCCTCTTAAGGTTAGCTACTATTGAGATGATGAGAACATTAAGTATAAAAAATTTTCATCTAAATTAAAAGTGTTATGATAAACATAGTTTTATATATTTTTAAAGTAATATATAAATAATAGTAATAAAAATATGTTATATATTGAAATCAAGTTTTATTTAAAATAGTTATATATACAAGAGTAATTACATCTGGTACAATTAATACAATTCTTTTCTGTTATAAATAAAAATGAACCATTTTATTCCTAAATTATTCTATTCAAAAATTATAGTTAATTATAATCATCAAGAACCCCTTGGGAACAATAATTATTCTGAAAAATAATGAACTTACAATATGTTTTCTAAGAGTTCCCTGATTTAAATTAGAAGTGTGAGGAATTTGATTTGATCTTCAATGTATTAGATATTACAATTAGAAAGAAATCGAAAATTGGACAGATAACTAAAAAAAAAATTTTTTGAAACTATATCAAAGACTTATATATTCACTAATTTTTTCAGATTTTTTTATTTGTACAGATTTTATTAAAAATAATCGAACGAAATGTTTAATGATTTTTTTTTTAATACAAATATATTTATTTATTCATTTATGTAAAAAAAAATTAATCATTTAAATTTTTCTTCCTAAAAATGGTTTTAATTTTTTAAAAGTGATGGCATTGATGACCTTTCTTTGATCTTTCGGTTTAAGATACAGAAACTTTAGAAATTGATAAGATTTCGAAAATTTGGTTTTAATAATTAGTGCAGATTTACGTAGAATATTTTGAGCTTCTTAGAACGTAAAGTAAAAGACGAAAAAAAATTATAATAAATAATACGAGCAGAATAATTCAATATTTTTTAATGCACTAAATACGATTAAAAAACCAAAAATATATACTTATTTATTAAAATTATTTTTATAAATTTTATAAATGAAAAATATTTTTATTTATCAGAAAATTTATTTATTGATATTAGCAAAGAACTGTTTTGGATACTATTAAATATCTATTATTATAAAAAGTATAGTTGCTTTATATATCTATATATATATTTTTCGTTTAAGACTACAACAGTCAGAAATGGAACCTTGTCCAATTTATAACGGAAACTTATACGTTAGAAATATTCTGAACCAACATTGAACTTAATTTGCGTTGATCCAATTTGCTTTATATATTTACATATATGTATATTAGAGCATTTAATAAATAGTGGACGACATTTAAGTCATGACTTTATGTTAAGTCTAAGAAAAAAAAAATTTGTGTAAAAAATAGATATTTTTAAATTAAGTATTAGAACAAAATAAATAAAACCCACAAGTATAAAGTAGCACCCATTTATTATTGTTTTTATTTTTATATATCAATCGGCATCCGAAGCAGTTGTATATAGTTAGCTGCATATTCTCAACGAATTTTAATATAAGCATTTCAAAACATTTCTATATATACGGAGGTCATTATTTATATTTTGAGCCTTAGCAGCACTAATTGTTGTTAGCTATCATCTGACGTTTAAATACGAAAGTTTTATATTATTAAACAGAAACTACCATAGACTTTTTGTCAATAGAGCGTGTCGAATCATACTCCATCTCCATCAAGAGAATGCGAGTACTCATACATCTCGTCTAACAACCGACTATTTGAACATTCAAAAAATCGAATTGATGGGTCATCCACCGTATAGTCCTGATTTGACACCCAATAACTTCTTCTTTTTCCGGAACGTCAAGAATAAATTGCGTAGACAACGATATTTGTAGGCGGAAGAAGCTGTTGTTTCATTTAAAAACCATGTTTTGGAGGTGTCTGAAGAAGATTGAAAAAAATGCTTTGAGATATTGTTCGAACGCATGCAAAAATGTACGAGTATTAATCAGAATACTTCGAGAA